GTCATTGCGTCCAGGATCGCCGGCAGATCGAATTTTCCCATCTCGTGCCAACTGAAGAACAACAGCATCACCCACTATAGACTCCTGTAGGAAACACTCCCAACTCCCGCATTGCGATACCTGAAGGACCAGAAAGCATCGTCTTGGGGGGACAAGGTGCGATGGCGTCGCCCGTACCTATTTCCCCTCACATTTCCGAGCCAAACATCGTATCCTTCATCCGCCAAAATGAAACCTGGAAAATTTCCAAACGGGAAATAACACGCGAATCCTTAACGATGTCTTCGGAGACTTTCTGCAACATTTTCGAAGTCGTTTGAAAAGTCCGAGGACGATCCGAAACTGCAGCAATGTGGTACAATTAGTTGCAAGGCAAGTCCTTTCATTTGGACGGGAAATTGCGTTTAAGGCCCTCGTCAAAATTAGTCCCGCTTCTTACCCAAACGGCTTGCCGCAGCCCATTCAGAGCTTTTTTGATTGATATCAACTATGCGAAACCATGAACGAAATGGATTTCCGATACGAATCTAGGCATCACTTACGAGGGTCCCGTTCGATATCTTTTGGACATTATAGGGAAAAAATTCCTCGGCTCCTGCAGAGAAATAGTTGCTCTCTGAAAGAAAAATGAAAACGAGGACGAAAACGGACCGAGTGCCTTTCCGGGTCCGCTGACGAGCCAGTCGGCTGAGGAGCAAAGGAGGCCGTGTTGGATGAGGACGGGGATCCGGGGTCTCTTGCCTGGTCCGCTCGAACCATGGGGGATCCGGTGGATGTCTAGCATGTATCCGTCTGATGTCGTCACCGTGTGTGTCTCCACGGGGTATCCGTGCTTCGCGATAAGACCTGGCTGTAGAGAAAAATTTCACGGATTTCTAACTGGATCACTTCGTGGAAATTGCACGATCGTCCTGCTACCGTCTATATCGAACAAGAAATTTGGGCCTGATACTTCCAGGAACCTCCGTGAAAAAAAAAAATTTGAAAAAGATGAGAAACTGACGACAGTCTTGTCTCCCGTGTGGGGATGTCCATCCTTTACACCTTGTTTCTTCGTGGACTGGTGGCCTCTGTCGTACCCCGCCATCAGCTCCTGCACCATGGCTCTGCATAAGGTCGTGAATGGTGATTGAGAGTCTGTCATCATCCACGGAACGATGAAGAGCCCGAGGTTAGTGGGGGGGGGGGTTAACTTGGCCACAAAGCCAGTATTCTTATACTGATACTGGCATTCGTGAGTGGAAGGAAGATAGGAAAAGAGATTAAACTAGTTTTAAGTCTCCATTTCCTGTTTTTTTTTTCCATCAAGCATGCAGAGCAAGGAGCAAGATAAGAGGGATAAGACAAATGGGGGTCGGAGGGGGGGGGGGGGGGGAAG